ATTTATTTTTTTTATAGTTAAAATAAATGTCGAACCAATATTTATGTATTGGTCATGTAATTTAACTAATTTACTTTAACTATTTAATGTTATTTTTTCACTTTAAGTAAATTGTTTATTAATCTTATTGGTCTCTAATAATAGTAATCTATAAATTGAATTAAATTTTCTTATGGCATTTACCACATCATAATATGTGTATCACAGTGTCTGAACACCCGATTGTTTAATCAATGTGTTCTGCCCACCATGACGTATGGTGCTGAGACATGGACGCTCACACAAGAGACTATACAGGTTGAGAATTGCACAAAGGGCCAGAGAGCGCGCCAAGCTCGACGTCAACCTTGAAGACCAAGTTCCGAACGTTGAGATCCGACGACAGACGAAAATCCAGGATGCTGGAACTCGGCCCATGGAATTCGAATGGGGTTGAACGGGACACAGCAAGGCAAGGTGATGTCAGGTGGAGCAACACGTCGACTGATAGGTGGCCGAGGATGTGAAAAAGAGGCGTCATTGGATGCGTCTTTCACAGGACTATAGTGGATGACACAAACTTTAGGAGGCTTGTACCCAGCAGTGCGTGAAATCAGGCTGTGGATGATGATAGAATGAGTATGGATTTAATCATCATATCAGCCTGAAGACGTCCACTGCTGAACATAGGCCTCCCCAAAGATTGCCAGACTAGCCGCTCGGACGTAACGTGCATCCATCGGTCACCCGCCGCCCTTACCAGGTCATCCGTCCATCTAATAATGGGCCGTCCCTTTGAACGCCTTCCGGTTCGTGGTCTCCATTCAAGAACCTTTCTGCCCCAACGGCCGTCAGTTCTACGAGCTATGTGCCCTGCCCACTGCCACTTCAACTTGCAAATCCTTTGGACTGTCGGTGACTTTCGTACTTCGTTATTCGGTATTGCGGACGAGAAGACGTCCCGAAGCTTCCCGAAAGCTACCCAACCGAGTCGGATTGGACGAATGATGGATATAATACAGGAATTAAAAATTGTATAAAATTAAACAAGGATTTTTAGCAATTTGTGGCTTATAATTCATAATAATTTCACTTATATGATAATACTCATTGCAAGATAAATATTTTCGGGTAACAGTAATTATAAAAATATCCAGCTCAATATCAATGACATTGTATCATTTTTTGTAAATCACCAAAAAAGTGGTTGGCGATGTTGGCAACTTTGAGTTTTCAATATTTGAATTTGATTCTATTCCATTTACTTTTTCAGGTTCTTCTGAAATTAGGCGCTGAATTTGCGGCATTGTCCTTGTTATATCCCTGTACGGTAACGATTTGGTTACACCATCATATCTACGTAAATTTGTAGATGTTTTAATCGCATTAACTGCCATAATTTTGCGAGCGACTTGAGTTTTCTCATCGTCATTCAACGTTAATTGTACTTTAACATACACTCCTTTGTTATTTGCCATGCTGCCAGACTTTCGCGACAAAACATACTTCCCGTTGCATGTCACAAACATTGTGCAAAGCTTTTCACTCAAATCTCTTTCCAAATTTCCCAAATCCATATCTATATTAACGAAAAGATCCTTCAAAATGTTTAGTACAAGTTTAGGTCGCAGGAACTTCAAATGCTTGTCCAACATCTGCTTCCCACGAGTCTTAGCACTATCAATGCTACTTGAAATTAATTTGTTGATAAATTTTATGTTAGCATACCTGCTTCTTTGTGGATCCAAATTAAATTTGGTTAATTGTTTTCTAAATAATTTATCAATTTTGTGCTCATATATTTTGCTCATTTTGTTAAGCCCGTCTATAACTTTCTCCTTCTCATTGTGACTGTCTTCACTCACATCTCTCTGATACATAGCCGCGTAATTGCTAACCGTACTGACGCCAGTGTCATTCAAATTCTTGTACAGATCAACCATAAATACTTTTATTTCGTCGTAGCATACTCTAAAGTTTTGACAAGTAGCCTTATCGTCTAATTTGTTGCTCTGCAACTGTTTTTCAATAGCAGTTTTCGCATCCACTCGTGGCAGCATATTTTCAACGTGTGTTCCAAAACCAAAGAATGGGATTCGGCTCTGTTGATTTGGCTGAACGAACTCACAAACGACTTTATAGTTTTGCGATAAGTATTTAACATCGTCGTACAAATTCGTAAAGAACTCGTGTAGATTTTTAAGAAACTGTTGCTTTTCGTCATATTGCTGTTCTTCAGGCATCAATTTCTTGTATTGCACTTGGACGTTATTCCACATGCGTGCCCAAGAGTCCATTATATGTGCAGGATTTGCTCGATTAACTAGGGGGCCGTTAGTCCACTTGCATTGGTGTTCGATCATTTGCGTTAACATACTGTCAAGTGTCGATGTAACTAACATTTTCGTTTTATTAGAAACAGGCTCTTTACTGAGAGCCTTACTGATGTTAAATCTCAACTTTTTGTACTTTTCTATATGGTCTTTAAACGAATCTTCGGATCTTAACATTCCATTAACTTGTGCTGGTTTGTCTGCAAATTCTATTATAGTTGTTTCTTCTCCGTTAAGCTCCGTTTCAGGCTCTTCGCTAGGTAGTCCGCCATCTAATAAAGGCTCTAAAGATTTAATTTTGTCATCTATAAATTCGAGAATATTTAATTTGCCTCCTAATTCTTGGACCGCTGATTTGAATATAGGGTTCCCAGACTTTGTTTGTAAGTATGGTTTAATGTACTCCTTGAGGTAATTGCTGATTTTACTGTCGAAAGCTTCGCCTTGAAAACGAGATGACTCTCCACTCGAGCTTGAGTCTCCCGATGATGATAATGTAATTAAAATCCATATTACTGAAGCCGAAACTGTAAAAAATATTACGTAATTACTTTAAATCTGTCTGATGTTTACAGCAATAAACCTCGTGTAATTTTAAAAATATTTATTTGATATACATACACGGGACTAATGACAAATATAAGAAAGTTGAACAATTACACATAATTTTATTGTTTTACAATGCATTTTACCTTTCCATTTTACTGACAGAAAATGTATCATTTTTGAAGCCATTGTACTATTTCAAACCATTTTGTTATCATGTTTACTGCGCCGCAAAATTTTCACTTTATGCGAATATAATTTTTACGACAGAGTTACATCAGATGTATTTCCAAATTGCAATTTTATATTCGCTTTTAACCATTCGTGGATTTCACAAGAGTTTCATATTATTGCTTTCAGTTTTTGGGTCACAATGCATACATACTATATAACTTACGTTAGTCAAGAAGCACAAACGAAAAATATACTTCCTTACACTAGCGTTATAAAGGTTGATCAAAAGTTAGCTTAATTAGTGTAGTTTAAGCATTTTCAGATTGGAAATGAACCTATTTTTAACTGACTTCAAAACTTTTTTTTTGTATGTATGTTACGCGATAACTCCGGTATTTCTGAACCGATTTTCATGATTCCTTTTTTGTTGGAAAGGAGGTACTTCCATAGTGGTCCCATTTCATTTCCAAGAAAATCATCCAGATCGAAGGGTGGCTGTTCACGCATAAAGATTCATTTACATAAATAGCGCCTAACATTAATTTAGGAGCAATTACTTTAATGGTTGATTTTGCTATTTCTCCAATTCAAGGCGTTTTTCTCTCAATATACTTTGAGTTGTGAGAGCCGATTTTTATTATCTCCAGTGTCAAGTCGTGTATAGTGGCGAACTAGGGGATATTTCCATAAAACTTAGCAAATAGACGTAATTCCACGTACTTTTGAGGTCGGTTTTTTAGTACTCTGTACTGAGATTATTTTGAATCCAAATCTAAATCGTGTATATTTGTTTTTGAAAGTGCACGAGAGGAGGATGGCAAACGTTTAGTGTATGCCATCGGTACGATAAGAAGTTTTTTTTAAACAAACCAACGTATCAGGCACTTTACAATTCCCGTGGTTACGGCTGACGAAAATGAGCGATTCGTTCTGCGTACTTTTAGGTTCTCGTGTTTCTGTTAGAGAAAAGTTTAAGGAGATTGGTATCATGACTGTACACTTACTGACTACACATCTTCCGGTCTCTCCGGCCGCATAGAGACGTCGTTCATTCGGCGTCGTAAAGTGAGCGTGCCCTTTTTTTCTATATCTATGGCGTGCCTTACAGCTCCGCTACCAGTGAGGAGATTTGGTAGTCGGCTTAGAGTCGACGGCTCAGCGGTAGCAACCGTTAGTTAGGGAAATGAGCGTGCCTACAGCTCCGGTACCTATCTGGAAAATAGGGAGGGTGCACTCGGGGCGGTCTCCTATGGCCTTAGAGAGAACCGGATGACGTACGTGCAAAGGTGCTGATCCGGGGCTAGGACCTGACTTAGATGGTCCTTGTGCAAGTTCGCTCGCAAGAGGTTGATAGGGAGGAGCACTATAAACTAAACTTATGTAGAAAGATATTGAACCGTCAACTCACTCAAATATTTTGTACTTAGGTAGGTATGTAGGGATTCAGAGGAGCATGTTTTAGGTTTTAACGGCTGTTTTAAAATTGTTTCGTGACCACTATATAGTTAGTGGTAACAAGATTCTTTTTTACAAACCAAGTAAAGAGACGAACAAGTCGTGTGCCTTGTAAGTGACACGCCTGTCCACCTGTATATAGCAGTTCTAATTCGCAAATAACTGAAGGGTACTGCCAATGCGCCCGTCGCCTTGAGACATAAGTTGACAAATCCCATGTAATTTCGCCAGCACCCTTTATAACGCACACACTCAACATAGCCCCACACTAGGGAAACCCTGTGTCGCGGCTGCCATGGACACACACATAGACAACCACAAATTACACCCAAACTCACGAGAGAAATAAATGTAGGCCATACAAATATTTCTCCCGGCCCGGGAATCGAACCCGGGGACCTCTGCGTGGCAGTCCGGTATGGTAACCGTTCGGCCACGGAGGCAGTTAAAACTGGAACTGGAACCTTTGAAACTGGAACGCATTAATGCTCACATTACCGTTTCGCAGCAGAAATATGTTTGGCTGATTACACGTAGCGCCGCGACGGCAGCATTTTTTGCTGCAGCACCACAACGATTACGGCGTCATACATACACAGCACCAGCGGTGCAAATGCAGTCCATATGGCGTCATCTACTAAAATCGCATACATTAGTAGAGAATTGCGGCAATCCTCGCCGCCGCCGTATCAAGTAAGAGAGATGCCGTCGGACATTGCGTCGGCGTTGCGTCGTCGCAACTGCGTCGTACTATAACATATTTTTTTTTTTTTTTTTTTATTTTTTTTATACCTGACAGGCAAATGACTCCACTCCACCTGATGTTAAGTGGAAAGTGGTATCCAAACGCGAAGGAACCTAGTGCAGCGATGGAATCCTCAATGCACTAGCCGCCTCCACCCTGCCTGCCTACAATATGCCTCTTCACGCCTCGTTTGAAGGACCCCATATCATAAGAGGGAGGGAAGACATGTGCCGGAAGGGAGTTCCATTTGTCAACCGTGCGGCAGAGAAAGGAGCCACCGAACCTTTTAGTACGCGATGGAACGCGGCAGGTAGTGAAACGGTGACTACGAAGGCCAGCACGCGTGCTTCTGAGCAGGAACGGGGAAGGGGGGATGAGGTTGAACAGCTCCTCAGAGCACTCACCATGGTACATGCGGTAAAAGGCGCTAAGCGATGCAACATCTCTACGCAGTTGCAGAGGTTCAAGGCGTGATGAGATGAGATGAGATGATATATATATATATATCAAAACGACATGCCACACAGTGCGTTGAAACAACGCGCGTCGACGGAATAGCGCGTGTGGCACTCGGTCCTTTGAAATAATAGCGTTGCATAAACGCCGCCGCTGTGACGCGTCTATAGAAGTGTGTACACAAATGTTAGGGCGGTGGTGCCGCTGTTGTTAAGGTACCATGTGTGATTGGCCTAAGGTGGCAATATTTCCCTGGACGAACTCTTTCACTTCACAAGGAGCTCTACTGTTACTAAAATTTTGTCCTGTGTGGTGTCTAAAACGAACTCCTAGTTATGAAGGTTACAAGTCGCGTTTATCCCTTTTTCTTGTTATTATCAGAAAAAAAAGGGTCAGCGAGAAGAATTTAAAAAGACTCGGTGTAAGCTATTCTGCCACCATTAATTAATTCAAAAAAAACGGCAAAAATGTTTACTTCTTCTGAAAGTTTACGCTACAAATTAAATTCCGTTATTTTCTATTATTTCCAGCGATATTAACGTTACAATCAGTTTCTAGAAAAAATTGTCTATGCGATCAATTGAACATTGATTTTAGAATTGTATATTTTTCCCATAGACTTAACAGGTGGCCTTTGACAGCAATTATCTTCGTCACGACCTGTACAATTGAATTTTTTGTGCTAGTTTCAAATTTCATGCATATCGGTCGAGTAATTCCTCTCGGAAAATATGCGAAGAAAGCTTCGCTCGCTGCGCTTCGGTTATTGTAAAATTGTTTATCATTGTTATATTACTAGATATTACTTGAAAAAAGCTAATATTTTCTGTATTTTTTTTACATTTTGTCCATAATTTTGGCGAAAAGTCGATATTCTCGAAAACCAATAGGACTAGCAAGATAGGGCGTGACTAGCGCGAACGCGACATAAAGCGCGATATACTGCAGCTATTCTCGTATGTATATCTCGCGTTTAATGTCGCTCTCGCGCAAGTCACACCTTATCATGCTAGCCCTACTAGGGCTATTATGAATACCCAGTAGAGCTCGCACGATAAGGCGTGACTTGCGCGAGAGCGACATAAAGCGAGACATCTCTATACTAGATAATGTCTCCTTATAAACATGAGAAGTCCTACAGCGAGATTAGACAACGTCGTCAAAGTCATGGACCGTAGAATAACACTAACGCTATATCGCGGCAGATAGCACAAACTATGGGCTGTGGAATATGGCAATTTTGAGAAGTTTGGTTAAAAAAAGAGACAAATATTAAAGCAACAGCATTTTTATTTAACAACATTATATAAAACCATCTTATAAGATTCACACGATACAGATCTTAAGTAGCTCATACAAAATCGCAGAAGCCCAATTTTCTTACGACTAATATTGCAACTGATATCACTGCGTGTTAGAAAAAACCTTATCAACATCTTTAAATACAATATTCTTTTTATATATATATTTTTTACATGGGCTCAAGCTAAGATTACACTAAAAAATTATCTTTAAAGCCAATTATTTTTCATAAATTTTATTAAATTTGTAATTTAACTACAAAATTGCAAAAATTAAAATTACATTTAACAAAAAAAAGGATTTACATTTATACAAGGTTACATTCATTATAATATTTAAGATCTATTTGAATGTTAATAATAAAATCTTTGTTTAAAATAGCCACTGCAGTCTAAATTTAAAATTAAGTTTCTTTTTTTATTACTCACTTAGCAAAATTCAAATTTTAATATGAAACTATGTTCTAATTACGATTTCTTTCAATTAAAAGTTAAAACGTGTATGATATAAAAATTCGTCATTATACAAATAATAATTTTCGACGTTCTTATTATAAAAGTATATTCTACTTATGCATCTAAACTAAGTCGCTTTCCTCAAGACATAAAAGTTTTCAATTAGCTGACAATTTTGTTTCAAAAAATCAAAGAAATTTTAAATTAAGTATTTAATTAAATTGATTTTATCATGAATTGTCTATTTGCATCACGAAATACGAGATGAATACGCTTAAGAAATACATACAAAAATACCTGCATAAAAATCAAAGTTGGGTTACTTAAGACATGAGTCAGTCATCATTAAATCCTCTATAATTATAACTTCCTTTCTTCTGTAATATATATCCCTCTGGTTTTATTTTATCATAATTGAATGTTAGCTTTTAAATATAACAACTTTGATTTAAATTATATTGAATTTTCTCTTTCATTTGAGTACGATTTTCCCATACTTTAGAAAACCATATAGGCAATTCACGATTTTTTTTACTTATGCTATAACCATGTATTAAATACTTAAAATTTAATGGAACGTGTATACATGTTTAGGTAAACGTTAAGTGCCTAGAGTAAATTATTCGAGTAAGTTGAGTTTACTGTTTGTCTTGCGAAGCTGTGCTCGCCAGGGTATTATTTTGGCTGTTTCTTCTTCATCGTCGTGTTTACCGTTCGAATGGCCTGTAAAATAAAAGTATTGCGTTTAAAAATATTATTCAAATACCTGAATAATTAACTTAATCAAATTTGATAACAATACACCATAATATTATTATTCGGATTTCTTTCGAGGCTTTCGATAACATTGATCACGTTACGCATCTATCGCTTCAGGATTATTGTAGTTTCAAAGATAAAACAATGATATTATCAAGAATATCTTATCATAACTCGATAAATAATCGTAGCAAGATTTTATAATTTAATTACCTTACATAAATACGTCTCTAAAGCTCTCTCAATATGTCCAAACTTACATATTATTTATTTTACATGTTTATGAGAGCTTGATGAAGGAAATGTTGAGTATATTCAAATTATACAAGAATTTTACTGATAATCAGGGTTTTTACCATTATAATGTTCACTGGTGGTGAGTTTCATCTCCGATGGTGCCCTCATAGGCTGCGAAGGAGAATCGTAGCACAATGTTATATTGTCTATAGAAACTGCTCGTTGTGCCCCATTAGGATATGCGCGCCATTCACTACCGCCATTCTGTTGTTGTGTACCGTTTGTGTCTTCCACTTTTGGCGTGTACAGTGATTGCCTGTAAAAGCAAAAGTAGTTGAATTACCAAAGTGTATTGTATTGTGACTTATGAAAAATCTGAAAAAGTTTGTTTATTATCGTATAGAAAACCGAATCAACCATCTTTTGTCATCCTACGATTTCATTACTCGTAAGAATTCATCATTTAGAAGCTAATATCTCAGTATCAGACTATAAGTAACAGTCATTCAAATATTTTCGACTCTCCTCCACCTACCATATTCTTCACCACATTACACAGGTATACTGATTAAAACTACGTAAGCGAAATGACACTTAACTGACCTCAATCGATTTTCAGCTTCCTCCCTTCTCTGCAATAGCTGTCTCTTCCACACCGGAACAGCCGCCGCCCTCCGCCTCTCCGCCTCACCAGCTAATTCTCTCTCCAGGTCCCTTCTTGCTTTCTCAGCCGCACGTCGTGCCAACATCTGCCTCTTCCATGCAGGTATGATATTGCCCGAGGCATCTCTCTCCGGGACCTGAGGATAACCCTACCGTCGACCAACCGCAAATTGTGTGAAGGGGTGTACTCCATCGTGATTTCATAATTTTATTTAATATTTACAAGTCATTAAGGTAACATATCTTCATTAATATTTACAAATATAATAATATTTACAATGTTAGAAAATAATGGTTGGTGTTATCGAAATGACGATGGAAATTAGAAATTTAATAGTGAATAATGTCTACGTTACATTACACCGACAGGCACGTTGAAATTCACATATTAAAGTAACTTGCCTGACAGATAGAGCAAACAAGGATTTATCCATAAAACGTTGAAGTGGCAATTGAAAACAACTAATCATGAAACCGAATGCATAAAGCAAAACGTGCCAGTTAAGCCAATCAGATTACAAATGGCGTCTAAAATGTATTGTTCTTAATGAAAACAGTTGTTACACAGTTATACTCGTATATGGGGGTGCAGTGTGGTTGTTATTACATCACGCGAGCTTCGCTGTTGACCGTGACCACTTGTAACGGGACTGATTTGCTATTAACGTCGTTATCTAGTTTTCTTACAGATCTTTCATAATAACAGACTATATTTACTCATCTATTCATAGTGGTAAACTAGTATGCACTTGTGTTAATTAAATCGGAAATAACAACGGAACCACACACACGACCTTTGATAATATAGAACAGTTAGTTTGGCTTCATTGACCCGGTCGGGAATCGAATCTGAGATCTCAGAGACGGTGACTCCGTGAAAATTGGTGTGCAAGCCACACGACTACAGAGGTCGTCAAAAATGCAGTTTAACTATATTTTTTTTATTAAAAATAGTGATAGATACAACATTGATACAAGGAATACTAACAAACTAGAATCTTGCTTTGGGCAAGAACCCGGGCGGGTTCATTGGGTTTTAACCCACTGCCCATCACTGGTCAGGGTACTATGGTACTTATTTTACAATAAGAGAGTATTTTATTTTTTAGAAGCAAATATTTCAATATCGTGCAATGAATTATGTACCCCGCGCTCCAAAACCTACGCAACCACGATACCGTTTCGCCTTAAGGATAGACTCCATTAGTCCGCACTCTTCGACATTGTGTCCAACCCGTCCGTTTCACATAAATGCATAACGGGAGGTGAGCGTGCCAACAACTCCTGTACCTAAGTGAAAAATAGGGAAGGCGTGCACCCGGAGTCGCTCACTCAAGGCACTACCTTCTTGAGCACCGGGTCCGTGGCAACGGTGTGTGACAACCGTGTCCTCAGGCTTATCTGGGGTCAGAGAGTCAAATAAGTAATACTCGACCAAATCAAGAAACAATGTCAATTATGAAGCTTCATTCGCATCATGCGTCTTTGAATTTGATCGTGTATTACTTATTTGAGAATGGGAGTACAGAGCCAGGATCTGAACTGGTAAGATCCTTGTGCAGGCTTGCTTGCACAGGTATGCCCTTCCCGTATAACCAAGAGGTTGAAAGGGAGAGGCGCCATAAAAACGTAGATATAAGATAATTACATTGTCCCTATCTCCCGACCCGAGAGATGGGAATAGGATATTCCGGAGAGACTACAGGCTCGCCGACAAGAACAGGGTATAGCGGGCGTCCGGGTCAAGCCTTCCGCCAGTGATACGCCTTCACGGGCATCTCTAGCGGACCCAGACTTGGATATGGACTCGCTGGGTTTTGTGGTTAGCTGTAATGATGAACACGTTCGTAGCACGTGGCCGGGGCGTTCGTCTCGTACGTAGCTAGCGCGCGAAGGAGATGCGCGGGACACGTAATTTGCCCTTTAAGTTGGAAGCTATGTCCGAACATGGTCGCAGGACACTGCGACCGGCATTTCCTACGGCACTAGCCCGGAGAACTGGTAGAGGACGAGCTAGATATCCTCCAGTCCCTCCTTAGGTGATTGGGAACTGGAAAGATGCCATTTTCCGGTGTCGGGAAGTGAGCGTTCCTTACAGCTCCGGCTCCAAAGAGGTCATTTGGTAGTGGACTCAAAGTCAACGGCTAATCGGTGGTAGTTGCGCAATGCGTAATTTGATGTGACCGTTCTCACAACTCCGGTACCTAACTGGTAGCTCACCTAAGGCGCTAGCCTTCTGAGAACCGGAAGAAATCCGTGCAAATAGGCTGATCTGGGATCAGGACCTGACTAAGTAGGTCCCTGCGTGGGCTTGCTTGCACTGATTATAGTGCCCTTCCCGTATAACCAAGAGGTTGATAGGGAGGGTATGTATAAACAAAACTTGTGTAGAAAAGATATGGGAGCTGTCCGTTTTACATAACGTATTGTTACTATGCTGCGGTTTCAAGTGTGATTGCGTGTAATTGAATAGACATCGCGTCGCAACTGCAAAACAAACATACAGCTATGGAAAGTGCAAACATGTAATTTCAAAGCGTAAAAAGAAATTACCGGCGTCACTCATTGAACGAAATATTTTCTATGTCAACACAATTTATTAGTTTATTCCGTCATTCATCAATCTATAGACGATGATTTCACAACTTAAGTTTTACGTAATGAATTCTAAAAGCTTCTTATTTTATACTTTCATTTAATGATATCTATTAGACTACTAGACAATGAATCTTTTTGTTATAGAAACTTTCTATACAAATCTAGGAAACAGTTGATTCAGGTCTTTGCGGGCTGTCGAAAACATTTATTTATGAATTTACAAAGTTTGTCTGCAAAATAGCAATGGCAATGCAGTGGGAAAGCATTTTGAGTGTCGTCAATGATGAAATGTGATTCTGTAATTAGATATTTTGCTGTTTTTCCCACACCACCGAATGGAACAACCCCCCATTGTTAGAGATATTATCTTTATTACAATAAATACATAATATTTTTGGTATATACGCATACGTACACACAGGTCAGTTATTGGAGCTGTACTATTTCAGTTTTCTAATTTGCGATTTCAGTGCAAACGAGAGTTGATATTTAAAAGTGATATAACACACTTTTGCCTGATGAGTTACTAGGGATGGCCCTTATTTCCTCTCTATTTTTGGTTTTATACTCGATAGTGTCAGATTATCGAAAGTTATCGAAATGCAACTGCGTTAGTTATGATAAGGAGAACAGCATAGCTTTCCGATTATCATAGTAAATTACTATTGTGATCGTGTATAATTTATCGTTCTTTTATTAAAAGTTACACGATTATATGACGTGATTGATAGCAGCTGCAGCCATCTATATTGTTTTATTCACACTAATTACAGTACACAATTCAAATGAGACTATTATTTTCTAAACTTTTTTGGAGCAGTTGCGATCGTCTATAAATCGTCTCGTAGAAATGTTCGAGATACAACTATAGTTATAGCGAGTTCTTAGGTTTTCGGTAATAATAATAAGATGTTTCCTTGTTTAATTTAACATTACATTTGAATTGAATTTTTATTGAATTGATATTCAATTATTTTTTGTAAAATTACTCCACTAGTATTCTTATAATTATTAATACAAAGATCGAACACTCAGAAAAAATTCCTTCGATCCGGTCGGATTCGAACCGACGTCTTTTTGCATACCGTGCCAGACGCTATACCAACTAAGCCACGGAACGAACCAACGGACCTCACGAATTTCTCTATGTGCTTGCGTCGTGTCTTTGTACTTGGTCTTTCAACGATTACATTTGAAGTTTTTACTAGCAAAGTGTTCGTCCAGGGAAGTACTGTCACCTTACCTATTTCTGCCGCAGCAGAAGCAGTAGTGTGAGCATTATTACTCTACCATCCCTAATTGCCTTCGTGGCCGAACGGTTACCAAGCTGGACTGCCACGCAGAGGTCCCGGAACAGGAGAAATATTTGTATGGCCTACATTTATTTCTCCAGTGAGTTTGGGTGTAACTTGTGGTTATCTACGTGTGTGTCCATGGCACCTGCGATACAGGTTTTCTGTAGTGCGGGGCTATGAATTTGTGCGCGTTAAAAAAACTAATACGCGGCTAAGTGACAAAATATTTTTTTGAGATGTCATTAAAAAAACCATGACCCAGTTTCAAAATATTGAAATTTATAGGTTCCGATAAGTCTAACACGTTAACTAATTTTAACTGTTCTTAAAAGATAACTTTATGCTCTATCTTTTGCCGCGTTTTAGTTAGTGGACGGCAGTACTGCGTTCCGGTTTGGAAGGGTAAGGGTGCTGGTGAAATTACAGGCGCATGGGGCTTGTCAACTTATGTCTCAGGGTGACGGGCGCAGTGGCAATGCCTCTAAGATTTTTGCAATTTAATGCTCTGAGTGGCACTGCAACTGTTATGAATAGGCGTGTCGCTTGCTCATCCCGTCACTTGGTATAATTAAAAAATAAAAAACTTTTTGAATTTACTTTTATTGTGTAATGTTTTTATACGTCCACTTATACGTCTCACGGTACAGTGGGACGTATAAATAGGTTAATGATAATGATGAGAAACTGCACTATTTTTTCGGATCTAAGTCGATTATATTTGTTTTTTCAAACAAACCAACGTTTCAGGCCCTTTACAGTTCCCATGATCACGGGTGACAGACCTGTAAAGGGCCCGGTTTAGATCCGAAAAAATAGTTTCATTTCCTATTTACTAACAATCACAAAAACGTAAGAACTCGAGATGATGATGAGAGTTAAATTGCATAATCAACTATTAAACATAATTAATCAAACTGATACCTCTGTGTCTACTAAAGAAAAATTAGCTCGATCGATATCATTGCGCAAGATCCATAATGATAGCTATTATTTAAAGATTATATGACGGTGTCTTTTACAATGTACGTGGCAGAAGCAAAATTCGCGTACAAACAAAGCTCATACTCATGTGTAAAGGAGAAAGCGTAAAAACGAATGTACGAAAAAACAAACGAAAACTGCCACTGTTTATTGTAATTGTAGAAATTCATACTTTCAAATTAAGATTTTATAATCTGATTTTGAAAAACATGATACGTCTTGAAAGATTGTTTGCTTAGAATTACGGTTTAATAGTTTAACTACAGCACGACGTT